AGAACAATCCTTAAAGGCTTTTTATTATATTCTTGATAAACTAAATAGATATTCAAATAATTATTTTAGCATTTATTTAAAATGTCTTTAGACTTTTCAGCAAATGTGTATTCTTTAATACTACTATATAACATCTAGAGATTTGTAGGTATCTCATGGGATTGGGGTAACTTTCTATGGCTGGACAGCATATGTGTCTTCTTTAGATGGCAAAAATAGGATCAAAGATGAAAAAAAAGAATAAGTAAAATGAAACTACAAAACAAGGTTAGTAATTTATTAAATTTCTACCGGTAACATACAGATAAACAAATGAAACAAGATGCCAATTTAATTTGAGAAGAAAGAGAATAATCTCCTAGAAACCTGGAGGTATGAATAAAAGAGTGTGGTGTGAATAAAAGAGTATGAGATAGTTGATCGAAGTGATTTTTCATCTTAAAATTTCTTTAGAAGAAACTACTTCCAAAAAAAATAAAAATCATCTTTCCCATAATTAGTGTCTACTCTAAATTATAATTTCTAGGAAACAACTTTTACATAAAATATGAAAATATAGGAAGCCAACTCATAGACTGGAAGCGAACTCATAGGGAAATAAGAAAAATCATAATGATACCTGGAATATATCATTAATATCTACTGGAAGAGCAAGACCAATGTAGTCATCTGAGCCGCCATATGTAGCACTGGACACCATGGACCTAACTGAGGAGGATCGCTGCAGGGTATTTTGATTAATGGGACTTAATAAATCTTCTTTATCTAATGATGCATAACTTAAAGCTTTCATGAACCTATAATACAAACAAAAAAAAACCCTTACATTAGTTTCTTTTTTTAAATATTAAAAAAGTAGCTGGTCAAATACTAAGCAGTACCATCTTGTTTACTAAAAATGTATAAACACTTAAAAATATCATCTGTTGTAGGCTGATGTACAAATGGTCACCAGCAATATTTTCTATTACCAAAAGGTAGGTTACTGGAATAAATTAAACATCTAGAAGTTAAAAAGAAACTTACCTAGAGATAGAGGTATAGTTCATGTATGATTTTTGCAATCACTAGGGACTGCTGAATTTGTTATTATATCGTTAATCATATATTTATTAACATTCAATATTATATTTAGAAAAAATAAGATCAATTACTTATCATTCTTTGTGAGGTTATTACTTTAGTGGTTTCATTATCAATCTAAGATTTATGTAACACAGAAGGTACATCCAATACAGTGAAGTGGAACCATTCATAAATATTACAAGGGAGAGCCTATAAGGCTCTATTATATAACAAAGCACTGATATTTCTACAATGCACTCCTTACTAGTAATTCCATAACAAATATGGCATACTGGCTATAAGATGTGCCTTTGTAATACAGATTCAGATTCTTTTTTTAAAAAAATTATTTTTTAGTTGTAGAAAGACACAATACCTTTATTTTATTTATTTTTATGTGGTGCTAAGGATTGAACCCAGTGTCTCACACATGCTAGGCAAGTGCTCTACCACTGAGCTACAACCTAGCCCCCAGATTCTTACTCATGCAACAGACATGTAAAAATATTTACTTGGTATCTGCTTTATATACACAAGTTTTTATCCACAAATAAAAATGTGTGTGTGTATGTGTGTGTATATATGTATATGTGTGTGTGTGTGTGTGTGGGTGTGGGTGTGTATATGTTTTTTTAATTTGGAAATCAAGTCTTTAAATAATGCTCATGCCATCTCATAGTAAATCAAAGAATTATTTCACAAAACACAAAAAATGCTTCATAAAACGGGGCTATTAAGATTATCAAAACAGAAACCACCTAAAACGACTCTTAAATCTATGATTTTCATAAAAGAGATCAGTGGTTTCCAAATTGTACTGTTATACCTTTCCCAAAAACTCTTCAAAGAATACTGGAGCAGGGGGAAACAATTACTGAATTATTCTTCTTTCCAATACCTATTTCAACTAGCATAGCTCCATTTTTTAATCTTTTCTATGTATTAGGTCTCCATAGGAAACTTTTTTTGTGGGGAGAAAAAAAAAAGCTTATCTGCTTAAAAAGCAACACTAAAAAAGCTTAAAACCACTGATATAGTCCAATCTCTACCAGATGAGGTAACTGAGGCCTAGACATTCCAAACTCATGAGCTATACAGCATATATTTATAATCATGAGCTGTTGACAAGCATGCCTGCCATTTTTATAAATTGTGAGAGGGCCAAAGCCAGTGAGTTTCAGTTATATCAGACATTACTGTGTAATCTTTATATTCGACACTGGGAACAACATTCAATACCTACTACCAGGAATCCCCTCCTCTATTAAATGTGTAATTACTGAAAGAAGACTGAGAATATACTTAATGTTATTAATAATTTAATGTAAGAGACAGATGGATTTCATAAAGTCACTGCCAAAGATGATAATAATACTAGCTAACTTTTATTAAAGGCTTACTATGTGTCAGACACTATTTTAAGTATGGACATATAAAAATCCATTTAAATCAGTAAAAATCAATGATTTAAAGCTGAAGAAAAAGTTGTTTAGAAGCAGCTGGCTCAACAACAAAAATCAGTTATGGAAACATTAAATATTAAATATTAAAATTAATATTGCATTCTTTTAAAGATAAAAGCTAAACTGTTCATTGTGAACAGTTTATATATGGTAGAAAAATCCTTGCTGAGTCCTAAGGAGCAAATAATTCATTTAGTGTTTATTAGGTGTCCACTTAATAATTATAAATATTGAAAATAATTTAACTGAAATATTCAGTTACTTAAAAACAAACAAAGAAACAATAACAAAAAATACCCCCAAAAAACCAAAAACCAAAACCCCCCCCAAAAAAAGAGGTCAACTTTTGGAGCCTTAAATTGACCTACCTGAAAAGGTTGTTTGTTATTGTAGGTCTTAAGCTCCTGATTCCCCCGACATGCTTCTTTTTAAAATCGATCCTTGCAGAAGCGAGAAATAAATAAAAAAAAGCTCGTGACTTGTGTGTTCTTACAAAGCATGTATGTTTATTTTCAGGGCCTAATGGAATTTTGTATTCCCCCCTCGCAGCTGCAAGAATCCATTTCAAATCATATCGGGTAACAAGGAGCTTATAGCCTACCATAGTAAACAAGTTCTGAGGATTATGTCGTAGTATTAACCTGAATAATGTTTTACATTTAAATCTGTTGAAATACAACCACTATTTCTTCATTTTTAAATATATATTTGCTTACCTGCTTGGCGTTAGTCTGGACTCAAAACTGTTGGCCTTCATGGTGATGGTATCAGTAAACAGCACATCTTTTGCTGGAGATGCCAAAGCTTCAGAGTGAGATAAGGATGGATGCATTCTTTGCTGCTGTAATCTTTTCAATGTAGCATAGCCAAAAGCATCTCTAGAACTTGTGTAACTGAAGTTACAATCTGCTAAACTTTTAATTGTAGCAATAGAAGGTGCTTTGAGGGACTGTGCTCTTCTAGGAAGTGTGTGAGAAGAACCAGGAGGCACCAGGGACACCGAATTTGACTTGGAAAGAGACAGATGGTTAGACTGTGGTGTCAAATAGTGGCTTGTTTTAACAGTTTTCGTACTTACCACAGTACTCATACTTCCACAGTCTGTGTCCATAGTTGTAGCATCTACGCCTACTGTCTCTCGTGAAGGACTTGAGCTCATTGAACTTATGCCACTTGTTGTGGTATCTGTATTAAAACTTTGGCTACGAATCTTCATATGTGAACTTGTTGAACTTTCTACAACTAACCTTTCTCGGCTAGTGTTTTCTTTGTGATTCTCTGTACCAAAACTCTTGGTGAATTTTAAGTCATTCTCTCCAATACTTGGAGTACTACCAGTGTCATCAATGTGCTTATTCCCAACAAATGAAGTTTCTAATTGTAATGTTTTCTGAACTGTGGCCATAGGTGTGAAATCATCACTATGATTAAAGTCAACGCTGGGTTCCGTAAGTGTTCTGATTCGTCTGTTGCTTGTCTTATTTTCAGATGACATTTTTCCTCCTTTTGGATCACTGCTACTACGATGTTTTTTATTAGGCAAAGTAAGCGAATTTAAAATACGATTCTTCACAAGTTTACTAGAAGCAAAGAAAGGAAATGAATTTTTATCCTTGATGGGTCCAGGTCTATCATAAAATGCTGGCTCTGAATCTTCATTGATGTCAAGGAAAAAGGTACTAGTAGAGCTGCTGCCAAACCGGTCATCCTCCATTATGAACATACCTAGGATTGAAGGGTCAATTAATTAAAGCACATAAAAATAAAAATTTCATTTCACTATTAGTGATACCACATTTCAAGAAAATTTAAAAATCTGTTTTAAATTGTACTAGTTATTTGGGGGGAAAATTAAGATTGTGTTAAACCATTATGCCACATGGAAAGTGCTTCCTTAAAACTCATTTAGATTTGAATAAAATGTAAAATTACGTCATTATGAGAAACTCTTATTATTCCAAAGAAAAGCTATAAGACTCAGTATGGCACAGCTTACATAAAGTTTCCTTTGACTTTCCAAATACTCAAGATGTAATTAAAGGGAAAAAGGATACTTGAGCATGGATGTTTGGTCAGCTGGTATAGACTCCATATGCTAGGTAAGCACTGTATCATGGAGGTGTCTTATATAAGACACTCCATAATTTAAAATGTACTGTTTTGCTAAAAAATGAAGATGTAGGGCTGAGGTTGCAGCTCAGGGGTAGAGCGCTTGCCTAGCATATGTGAGGCACTGGGTTTGATTCTCAGCATCGCATACAAATAAAGTTTCATTAAAATTAAAAAAAAAATTAAAAAATAAAGATGTTTAAACAGTAAGTAAGTAGCTTAGAAAAAAAATAAATTAGGCATAAAACAAATACAGTTAAGTTTTGAAATTACACACAAATATTAGTATTGGCTAACTTTATGTGAACCTATCACAATACTCACTTGATGGTGCAGATTCACTTTCACTATTATGTCTAGAGCTGGTTGACTCTGAGTTCAAGCTCAAGGTACTTGGGATAGATGAGAGTTCATTACAGAGTTGTTCCACATCATCTGGAACAACTGGCCACAGATGTTTGCGACTATGCCTCACAGCATCCCAGTTGTGACATTTTAGAATATCACAGCCTTGTTTGGTTTTAGCTATTAGCCCAAGTACATATACACAGGTCCTGTATGTAAAAAATGTAATAATGAGAGTTTTCAATTTCTGGTTGAGTGTTCTTGGAGCAACCACAGAACAACCAATTTGCTATATATACATCTGAATTTTCCTTAAAAACTATTAAAAATTGTTTAATTTCTGCAGAATTTATATTAAAACTAGTTAGGAATGAATTAGCAACAAAATCATGCAAATCTTTCTAATGAAAGTAATGATTACAACAAAATTTTAAAAACAACATGTTCTTAGTACAAATATGGAATATCTGGGCATTGAATTACTGGACTTCCTGAAGAGTATTACATATTGCATTTTTCTTGTTTACTTACAAGGTAAACTTTAATATTAAAATAAAAATGGAATAAAGATATTACAGAGTTCATTAAACTCTTTGTTAGAATTTATAGTAAACTAACAGTTATGAACTACAAAATACTTTGCTTTATATCTTATTTATGAATAATAATATATGATTAAAAAGATTTCTGGGTTAAATGACATACCCTCTGATGGAAAGAACTTCACACTGTTTTGCAAGTTTTAGTATATCAGGAATCACATTTTCTTCCTGTAGCAAATTGAGACCCCAATTTGATGAGCCAATATTTCCCTGAAAAAAAAGAAAAATACTTAAAGAAAATACAAGGTTGATTATTTTAAGAGATGTGACAAGCTACTAAGAAACAAATTTAAAGCCATGAGAGAGAAAAATCTGAAAAAACTCTCATATAAGAAATGTTAGAAATAAATTAATATTCTATTTATCTTAGCAAGAGAACCAGAGCCATAAAAACTAAAAGTTTAATCATTTATTCTGTCAGTGTAAAAATAATATTTAAACTGGCAGAAAATGTTAGTTTTGGAATATTTAAAAGCAAGTTCTAAAAAAATAATTTTAATATTTTACTATTAATGGGAAAAATGAAAAAAAATCTAAAAATTGCGAAGATCTTACAGAAGTTTTTATTACAAACCAAGGCCCAAAGAGATGCTTTCAGTTTTTTAATTTCTTCCCATTTATCCAAATCTGGTGTGCGAACATTGTGACACAGTTCTGTAATAATATTCTGGAAAAAAAAAATCACATAAATGTACTCCTAAGTATACTTCCTTATTGCATTGTTAAATCTAAGATTTGCTTTTACTCATTTCTGCACATTTAAAATTCTGAAGTAATTTTATGTAAAATATCTTATTAGAAAACATTAGTGCATAGGTTCTGAGTTCATATTCTTATTAGATTGTGTGACTCTGAAAGTCAATTAACCTCTGCCCTCCATGCCTTGATGTCCTAATTTCCAAATTAGGGATTATAACAGTATGTATCTCATAAGGTTTCATGATTTAATAATCACATATAAAGTGCTCCACAAAGTACATATTGCCTAGTATTGTAAAAAGTCATATAATTATTATTTCTTTTAAATAGAAACTAATGCTTAGGTTTTATCATATTTTATAAATAATAACATTGAACAATTCATTTAAATTTTTAATAAATTTATTTTCAAATATTAATATAAGGTTATCTTCCTAATAGTCTTCATAGACATATATAAAAACACATGAAACTATAGAGTATATTTATGCAAAATTTTGGCCTCCTGAGATTTAACACTGATACAAAAAAAGAACTAAACTGCTAGATCACTATCATTCTCACACATACACATAAATATTTCTACAACTATTTCTTGAAAAAATGAAAAGTTATATTTATTGAAAATACCTAGTTACAAGACATACTATAAACACAGTGAATATACAAACTACACAAAGAACAAATGCTTGTCCAAACCCATTATATTCCATGAAGTATATAAGAATAGGGATGTTCACAAACAGCGATTTTTCAATTTGTTGCTAACTGGCAATAACTGAATCTGTTCAGTTTAAATTCCCAATGAGAGCAAGAAAGAAACTTATTTTTTTAATATGTTTTTAAGGAGATTTTAATTTTTCCAATAAATGACAAAGGAAAGCATTTCAGCTCTTTACTGGGTTGCTTATTCTCCATAACAAGTTAGCTTTTCCAAAGGTCACACACAAAACAGAGAAATGCATGCAAGCCAGCAATATTCTTAGGGATTACAAACACAGAATACTTAAGTCAATTATAAGACAGATAACTATAAAAGCAATTAGGCCACTGCCTTTATGGCTTCTGAAAAATTTTTTCAAAGATAATATTTAGCAACATTAAGATTTTTTTTTAATATGATAATCATTTAAAATTACCTGTACTTCCAATAAATGACAGCCTGTTTTGTGGTGTACCAGTTGTCCATAAAGGTGTACAGGCAGGTAGACATGAGGACGCTGTAATCTAATATAATAAAGATCTTTAAGATAGCCACTGCTTTATTTAAATATGCTAATTAAAACATTAATAATTTACTGGATAAAATACAATTCCCCAACATATATAAAAATATGGAAGTGTAATAGCATAAAGATTTCTCTGGAAAAATAAGAATTTACTAGGTCTCACAATACTGGTGAGAGCTGGGACTAGAAAAAAGTGACTCCTATGAAACATGAGTATGTAGAAAACTAAAAAAAAAAAAAAAAGATTCATTACATTTGATTTTACAATTTGGTTTTAACTTTGACAATAAGGACTAATAATAAATTATTCCACAGACTGGACTACATACCTTTGGTTACTCCGCCGAACATAGTTATCACCATCAATAGGCTTCCGATAAGTAGTAAGTGCTTCATTAAGTTGCTCTTCAATCAAGTCAACATATTTTGAATTATATTCCTAGAAGACAATACTTCTTAAATTGCATACAGTTTCATAATAACATTCACAAAACTTCTGTCAGGTACTTAACAAATTTTAAAAGCATGTTTATGAGAAAAATAAAAAATCTGTTTAGAAATTTAAAAATTTTGGAAAGAGGAGAAATGACCACACGTTCAGAACAAGTTTCAAGTACAGTGGTGAAAAAGAAGAGTACTTCTTTCATATCTGAGGCCAGCTTATTAAAAAAACAGACAGTAAAAACATAAAAGACATAAAAAGTAACTATAAGATAAAATGCTTTCAAAAACAATACCACTATAGACATAATTAGCAAGAGTCAAAAACACAGAAGATCCAAAGAATGGTAATACCCAATTACTATCATAATTATGTGATGGTGTCAACAATGATTTATTTATAAGGTTTTGAGTCATGAACTATTTGTCTATATATTTATTGTAAGTCTATTTTTTTTAGTAGTGGGCAAATTTTTTCCTATAGAAAGTCAGATAGTGAATATTTTTTGTAGGCCATATATCTGTTAACCCTACCAACTGTCATTTTAGAGAGAAAGAAGCTATAGGCAATACAGAAATAAGAATATATGCATTTTAAATAAACTTTATGAACACTGAAATATAAATTTCATAAATTTTCACTTGTCACAAAATATTATTATTCTTTTGATTTTTTTCAATCATTTAAAGATAGAAAAACTATGCTCAGAAGGTCACACTAAAACAGGCACTGGACTCTATTTGGCTGGGAGGTGGGTCAAAATTTGCCAACATCTGACTAAATAATGATCTCAGATAAAAACTGTCTCAATAAAATAGGAGTAAACTAAGGGAAGAAAGTCATGTTTAACCAAATTTCTGAAACCAATCAATCTCTAATTGGTACCATGAATGATAGTGTTTCTCTTAATTTTAGAAAAAAATTTCATCTTAGATACTTTGTTACTGTGATTACACAAGTATCTATAGGACACTTACATGTGGCTGAATGCACTAAAATCACCATAGTCCATTAAGTAACCAACCTAAAGAGTTGACAGCTACCCTAAAAGTCAGCTCTCTGAGTTGGTTGACAGACGGAATGCAAAAGTGACTTCCTCCCTCCTATCTTCAAATTTACTTTCACAGTCCTCTACATAATCTTCAAACTTTCTCACAGGAAGAGTTTTCTCTACTTTTTACAGACAACTCTCTTCACATCTGTGCTTTTGTTACATTCTATTCTTTGCCAAGAATCCATTTCATCAACTATGTCTCTCCTCTCACTAGGTCAAAAAAATTCTAACTTCCTCACTCCTTAAAACAAAAATTAAGATTTAAACAGTCTGCCTACTTTGATGACCTGCTCTAATCTACTGAAGGAAATCAAAAGTAGAAAGAGTATAATGTTCAAGCTTGGGGATCTATAATTAGCATATTCTTGTCAGCCTCAACATTTTCATTCACAAATCAGAAATGACAGAATGTATTTCATAGAACTGTTGTGAGGACTGCATAAAATACTTAAAAAGTGCTCAGTCCAATGGTAAACAATGTTTTCTTTCCTTTCTCTAATTAGAGAGTAAATTACATTAAACTATGGTTTTATACTTTCCATTACTGCTTAAACTAAATGTTTCTACAATGCAGCCCATTTACAATTTTTACTAAAACTGCTATAATAAAATTCACCAATGATCTAATAATCTAATTTAATATCTTGCTTTACAGTTTTGATCTAATGTGACTTCACTGGCCTCTCCTTCCTGAATCATCCTTTACTGATACCATTCTTTTTTTGAGGAGATGGGGTACCAAGGATTGAACCCAGGGGCACTCAGCCACTGAGCCATATACTCAGAACTAATTTGTATTTTATTTAAATACAGGGTCTCACTGAGTTACTTAGCTCCTTGTTTTCGCTGGGACTGGCTTTGAACTCGTTATGCTCCTGCCTCAGTCTCGGGAGCCACTGGGATTACAAGTATGCACCACGCTATAACCCTTCTTCCTAATAATTTCTTCCCTTTGTCCCTTTCTTTCCCTATTAAGCCAAGGTGTTCTCTAGGAGAAAATGTTGTCTTCTCTCCTTTGTGCTCTGATGTTTTCTCTAGTGACCTCATTCATTTCATGTTTTAACTACTACTATATACTGTCATCTTCTATTCATATCTAAATTCCAGACCCATATTTTCGAATGTATCCTGGATACCATCACTAGGTCATCCCACAGAAAACAATTCAACATATTCAAAATTCACTATCCTTATGCTACAAACCACTTTTTGTAATCATGATCTCTTAATGATGATCCATTATAATTCTGTCATTAAATTAGAAACCTTGTAAGTCAAACTGGAATCCTCACTCACTTATATATAATCAATCCACAAATCCAGTCTACCTTATTTTTAAAATGCCTAGAAAATGTATCCTTGCCTATCAACCTCACTATGAAGTTTAGACCCTCATCAATTCTTGCTTATATACTAGTGTCAGTATTCCTAGACCTTTCCTTTGATAATCAGACTTCCATTTCTATGCTGCAACCCATCATGTTTACAAAGCACAGTTCTGACCATGGTAACTATTTAAAGACTTACATGATTCCTCACTAGTAGAAAACTGAATCCCTTAGTATGATTTAATGTAGCTTGAAAAATTCTACAAACTAGTTCTAATTTACCATTCTAGCCTCATCTTACCATTACCCACTGGTTCTAGCCCCAACTACACTGGAATATGGTTTTCTTCACAAGTTTATGAAGTTTCAATAACCTATACGGATTTATTCTGTCTCCTCTTCTTGAGTACTCTTTTTACAATTTGTTTGCCTACTTACTCCTCAAGACTATTTAAAATATCACATTCTCCATTGAGCCTGTCCAAGTTTTGTTTTGCTGGTCCCTAGTGCAGAATTGCCAAGGTCAATGCTTGTAATGGCCCTCAGCACAGAATCATTAATCTCTTCTTTGTGTTCCCTTGTACACTTGCATGTGCCTTTATTATGCCCCTGTTACCTGAAAGCATCACACCAAATTTGCTAAATAATTTCCTAATTTGTCTAATATGGCAATCAATTTCATCATGTTAATAGGTTTAAATGTCTTCTATTTAAAACATAAAATTATCACGTGTTATTTCAGCTCCTTAATTCATCAATTATTGAGACTTCACACCTGAAACTGAATGCTTTAAAGTTTTAGGACTTTTCATTTCCTTTTTTTTCTTTTTTACTCATACTAGGGATTGAACCCAAAGGAACTCTCCCATTGAGCTACATTCCAAGCTCTTTTAATTTTTTCTTTTGAAAAAGGGTCTCACTTAGTTGCCCAAGTTGGCTTTAAACTTGAGATCCTCCTGCCTCCAGCCTCTGGAGTCTCTGGGAACACAGGCATGCACCATCATGCCTGTCTACTTTAGTACTCTTAATAAATAAAAATCTATGAAATATGGATCAATACAGACAATGTAATAAACTAAAACTATTTAAACAAAGGATAGGAAAGAAATGATAAATGGTTTTAAATGATGAAAATCTAAAAATATTTACAATGGTTTAGATTGTTTTGTTCATGGGTTTTCTAAGATGCTTTAACAATTTATAATGCTACAAACAAAATAATGAAGCCACAGGGATAACCAGCTAAAGAAAAGCTAGGAAGTTGTCTTATACCTTCAAGGTACCCCGTTCTTACGTAGTTTCCCTACTACCTATGACAACAAGAACTTTGTTCTGATTCATGTAAAGTAACATCCTAAAATAAAGCTTAATTAGATGATTACATTTGCTTAACTAGAATAGTTTTCAATCTTCCTTCATTTGGAAAATTGTTTTAGCATGAAAGCACACATGCAAAGTTGTAGTCTGTATAAAGGACCCAAGGAATAAAAGAAATAATGGTAAAATAGTGTTGACAAATTACAAGTAATACATAAAATCAAATGAATTTAAAGCAAAATTTCAATAAGATACATAAAGTCAATATTTCACTATAAAAGAAATAACTACACTTAAAAATGGCTAAATACATAGGACTAGAACTTGACTTCATATGAATATTTAAATATTTAATCTCATTAATTTTAAAACATTGATGATATTTTAAAAACTCTCTAAATTTACAAATGCATTTCTCAGGATGAAAACGTTATTCAATAAGAAGTTACCTTATGCCACTTTTCCAACTGTTTTGCTACATAACCTCTTTCATTCAAGTAGGAAAACCCTTTTGGAATGGAGAGAAATCTGTAAATTAAAACAAGTCATAATTTAATAAAGGGTCCAGTAAAATATTTTTAAAGAGCTAAAATAACTCAAACAAAAAATGTGATTAAAGAGATAAAGGATTTTAGGAAAAGCTACCCTTTAAAGTGAAAAGGTCAACTATAATTTACCAAAATATCAATTACAAATGTTTTTTCAATCTTTGAAATACATATAAACCTAATCACAAAGACGATGCCATGAAAAGCATGAGAAAAACAGAAAACAAAACATCAAGAATAAAAACGAACAGAGTTTCAATATTAAAGAATGGGTACAATTAAAATAGGCATATTTCAGAAGATAAAAGGTAAACTCTTTCAGAGTACTGTTCCTATTCAGATTTGAATCCAACTTTAACATACACTACCAAAGAGAAGACAACAGAAAATATAACCTCAAAAGATTTACTTAAAATTTACCTTAGGAGGAGAAGCAAACCCTTGTCCCCAAGGTGAGATAAAGCTGGCTTCATCTGAATAAGAGCATGAAGATTAGCCTAAAAGAGAATATTATGTGACAAATTAACATTTATATAAAGATAGCCCATTCTTTTTTCCAAAATGTATGTATTATATATTTTCATAAAACTGTCAATTAAAATCAAATATTTTAATAGAAATTCATGTCCAAGTATATCATTATTTAAAAATGAACCTTCACCTTGTCTTCACAAGCTTCGTCAAGGATATCCAGGGCTTCAGAAGAAATTGTTTTGTTTTTATCATGTAGCTGAGTTACTAGTAACTCAATCCCCCAATTATTGAAGAATTCCACATTAGCTCTCAATAATACCCTCAAGTGTTTTGTTGCATATAACCTGCAGGCCTGTAAAGATAAAAGGTTAGAAAGAATGAAATTGATAGTCTAATCCTTAACATCAATATTTATTTATTACTAGTAAAATAACATACTTTTCTTTCCATCTAAGAGCTTCATACTATTTGATTTAAAAAATATATAATGTGTGTACACACACACACACACACACACACACACAGTGTGGAGTTCTTCAGAGGAACTAAAATTTTAAAGTACACTGAATTCATATCCCGTATTCTTAGAATCTATAATTTTAGTTAGTCTAAAATTTACAAAGTATCTGTTAAAATACAGTTTTATTGCCTATGTACTCACATCAGTAGCTGCTGTTAGGATTTTCGATAGAATGACTCTAGCCAATCCATCTCTGCTATAGTCCAAGCTAGAAACAGTCAGTTTTAGCAAGTGATCTTGGTTTTTCAAGGAGCAAAGATTTAAGAGGCTAAAAAATGGAAGAAAATAATGAAGGTTACTAGAAATTACTATACTGACTCACTAATTTAACAAATTTTCACAGCTTTATTGAAATGTAGTTGAAAAATAAAGTATATATAATTCATATATTCAGGTATACAATGTGATGATGTGATATTATATATTCCTTGTGAAATGATTACTACAATGAAATTAATTAATACATGCATCATTATAATTCCACTTTTTTATGTGTGGGTAAAGAGGTATAAATGCAAGTCAACAAGTATTTTTAAATTCCTAATATCAATAAGCATTTGTAAAAGAAAACATTTAATGTCAAATACCATATAAAGCTAATTTACAATTTTTTAAAACAATTAAAACATTTTGATTTTTAAAAATAAAACCAAACACATGTCTACAGACTAAAAAGAATAACATATATCCAAATTAAAAATAAAGTTTAGGTCAGGCTTGGTGGCGTAAGCACACAATTCCAGCAGCTCGGAAGGCTGCAGAAGGAGGATCAGGAGTTCAAAGCCAATCTCAGCAAAAGCAAGGCATTAAACAACTCAGTGAGACCCGTCTTTGAATAAGAATACAAAAACACGCTGGGGATATGGCTCAGTGGTTAAATGCCCCTGAGTTCAATCCCTGGTACTCAAAAATAAATAAAAGTTTAGGTACACGCTATAACAAAATCTAGGGATGCTCACCACTGAAATACACTGCATTTTTCTAGCATTTTGACTCCATGAGGGTGACAAGAAAGTGTTCCAATAAATAAAAAGTAGTGTTGACTAAGAGTAGTCAATAAACCATTATTTTGAAGACTTCTTTCAGGTTTCATTCCAGATGAGGCATTGAGCCACTGAACGATATCCTTTACAAGATCTTCTAAATATCCTTGTCCATCCTACAACCAAAAAAATAAAAAATAATCAAGTACAAAAATTTAATAACAACCATGAGCTTCTAATAACAGATAATAATCACTGGGCACTTGTTGTTTTCAATCCCATTTGACACAACATTACCTATAAATGGATATATTCTCCATTTTACAAAAGAGTAAATTAAACAAATCTCATAGAGGGCAGATAACTTGTTCAAAGTCTCATTTCCAGCTAGTTATTAAGTTGGAATTCAAATCTAGGTCTGATCTGGACTAATTTCTTATGTTTCTAAATATATCCTTATGTCTACCAAGAAATAAAGCCAAAACAGAGGGTGGTAATAGTGAGAGAAGAGGGACAAATTCAATTAAAAAAAAAAATTGCTCTGAGAATATTCAGAGTGCTTACCTCTTCAGATTCAAGAAGAAATTCTGTAAACTGGCAACCAACAACTGTGAGCTGCTTGGACTTGGCAAAATCCAAATCCAGGTTGGCATACAATTTACTACTGGGCTTATAAAAATAAAGAAGTCTTCTTACAAACCTAAAGATCAAAATAAAATTAGCAAGAAAGTGAGAAACCAAAATAAATTTTAAAATTTTCACCAAAGGTCATGCAGAATATATTTTGTCTCAACTACTGGGGCAAATGGTTTAAAAACTTAATAAACACATTTGGTACATTTATTTCATCAAAAAAATTTTCAAAGTAAAGAATGTCTTTAGGAATAAAAATTTTACAGGCAACTGAACTTATGGACATAATTTGTAAATGTTTCAATAACTTCCAATACTGGGTTGGTTGGTTGTACTCTCCCTTCTAGTTTAGCTCATTTTAATTTCATGCACTACAATCTAATCCAATAGTGTCAGCCAGGTCCAGGAGTTAGGAAAACAAATTTCAAAAAGACATCATATCTGTTCTCAAGGAGTATGAAAAGTTAGTACTGAGCTTCTCAATTTCAGCGTAATTTTTATGTTCTGTGTATTCCTAAGAACTTGATATAGATATTAAGTTACATATCATGAGAATGTGAACACACTGAAAAAAATGCTAATGACAACTTCTTAAATACAAAGTAAGACCCTCTTATCCAATGATATTAGTATTGGATCAGTTGGTTAGCTGAAATTCTGAAGTAAAAACACATCGAGAGAACAGCACAGTAGTCTGAAGTGTTCTATATGCTATGACCATTAGCATGTTTTACAAATGGTATGGGTTAAAGAGAGTGTTAAGACCAAGAATATATAACTCTTCAAAGTCTGACATGAGTAAAAGTAGATATTGTATATTATATTGCCCTCATTTGATACCCAGTTAAGACCACTACATGGTTGGTATTAATGCAAGTTAGGAAAATTATCTCAACAAATTCCTTTGATCTAAAACTAAGAGAATATACATAACTAGAAAAAGAATTAGCTGATGTGTTTTGATTAATTAAAATAAGACTACACATAAAATGCATGTATATATCTATTAAAAACAAATTATTAAAATGTATGTATCTTTAAAACACTAATTAGTACTTTATCCAAGTTCTTTATATAATAGTTTTTACATACCTGTGCAACTGTTCATCTTTATAGTTCCTTAGATTTACATTTGGCCACTAGAAAAAAATAACATGTTACATGTATTTATCAACTCCTAAACACATAACTGTAATAAATTATAATTAATAATAAAGACAATCAATACTTCACCATGAAGTTTCTTGTCATACCTTAAGAATGGTCCCTATAAGATTCCAATTCCATTCAAGATTCTCTTTATGTTGAAGGACTTGGCTATCTCTAAGGTTCATTAAAAGAGCTTCCTCTGTGTCCTAAAAATCACCACAAAGTAATAGGAATAATTAAGGCCAACTGTCCTCACATCAGAAAACTAAGTTCAAATTTTAAAAATAAAAAGAATTTTTTTTTTCACTGAAGAAGAGATCCTCAAAGTTTTTAATCTTAAAAAGTTATGAATATCCAGTTCTAAACTGTCTAGTTATTGTAAAACTAGAAATCTGAAATCCATTTTTACAAATGAAATAGCAAAACTAAAACAAGTAAGTACAGGTATACTAAACTTCAGGGGTTAAGAATTAGCCAGTACCTTAAGAACAAATATATCTTTCTGAACTCGAAGATACTGATCCCGTTTCTGATGTGTTGCCATGGCTTTTTGAATTATGTGATCTAAATGAAGGCTGTAGGGCTTAGGTCCTCGTTTCTTCATTTCATGGAAGCGTTTTAAACAGTTCAGTGCTGCACTGGCTCGCCTAACAAGAAAAATCAATTAATGCTGCAGGAAGATAGGCATCTTTTTAAAGCAATCATTTTGATAACTTTATAGTTTGGATATCCACTTGAAAGTGATTTTAGAGTTACCTAAAAGCCTCACGAAGGCTTGCTCCCCAATGCACTAATAGTTGGAGGTGAGGCTTTTAAGAAATGACTGGATCACAAGAGCTCCAAACTGATCACTGGATTTATTCATGTGATGGACTAATACTTTGAATGAACTATTGAGAGGCCATGGAAACTACAGGCGGTGGGACCTATTTGGAGGAAATAGGTCACTGAGAGCATGTTCTGAAAGGGTATTTCCTGTGCACGGCTCCCAGAGACTCTATTTGTGTTTCCCTGCTGCCAGGAGCTTAGTAGCTTTCCTCTGCCATGCCCTTCCATCATGATGTTCTTTCTCATCTCAGCCCAAAGCAATGGAGGAAGCAGACAATGGACAGAAACCTCTATTAACTGGGCGCACAAAATCCTCTTCAAGTTGTCTTTCTCATGTATTTTTCACAGTAACAAGAAACGGACTCATTAAAACTTGCATAATTCAGGGATAGGTTATTGGTGAAAGTGTGAAATACTAGGTCAAATTTGAAATACAAAAGATTGACTTATATAAAGAAACACTGATTACTTAGACTCAAACATGTACTTATTAATCTCTTCTTCTAAGGTGATAGGCCCCTCTTATATAATGGTTTTAAGACTTCCTTTTGCAAAGTCAAAAATTTAGTTTTCTATATTTTCTTATAAAAGTTTTAAAACTTTGTTTTTTATTTTTAAGTCCTTAATCCACTTGACAGTGATTTTTTTGCTTATCAGGTGAGGATGCAATATAATTTCACTGTATTTAATATAATAAATGATCCAGTTTCAAGTGAACATTCTCTATTTTCTGTATTTATTTGTAATTATACATAGTATCTTTGTAACCATAATTTGATCTGTAATATAGGTCTACCAAATTTTAAGAAAGCACATTTTTCCATAATGAAACTACATTGTGTACAACCAGAGAAATGAAAAGTTGTGCTCCATTTATGTACAATGAATCAAAATGCATTCTGTTGTTGTGGATAACTAATTTGAACAACAACAACAAAAAGACAGCTATATTTTCAGATTGCTGCTATCTCTTACGAATGTAATCTTCAGTCCCTAAGGAGTTTTCTATTCTGATTGGTTATTTTACTTAATAATATGTTCCCCTGATAACATCTAAATTGGCACAGCATCTTCAGAAAAACATATAAATGCAAATGAGTTTTCTATATAAAGTCAAAAGAACACCATGAAAGGTACCATTACTGACATTAGCCTAAAGTCAGAGCCGAGATCATCCTTAATGTTTACAATACAGTTTATAAAATAACTTCAGTTTATTAAGTAATAGTATTTTCATTGACAAAATTAATAATTTATTATTTATTTATAGAAAGGTCCATATGTGTACTTTTATATTAATACAGCTAAACTAATTAAACTTCTGAAGAATGTATTATAACTATTAATACAAATCTATAGTCTGACTAGCTAATGAACTACATTTCACTATTATCAAGAAAAAATATCTACATTTAATAACAAAACACATAAAGATATACCTATTAGACATATCTTCACCAAAAATTTACAGTAAAAATCCTATTAGCACTTCCCATTTAGATCTTGTACCTTTTATACTATTACTAGCACTAAAATTCCAATAAAGCTGTAGTTATATCACCATTCTTTTGTTTATAAATTCTCTATTTGCAATATCTCTTTCTATATTAAGAGGTCAATTGACTGCTATGACTGTAATAGGGGATACTACATTTCAACATTTTTAACCACACAAGTAAAAGAGTATACTGGTAGACTTTGTGATTTAAAAATTTGAAATAATTCATATACATTTTAAAAAGAGCTTAAATTGCTGCTTGAAACATAAAATAACTGAAAAAATTCTCAAATAACATCATGTGGTAATAAGTTCCATATCTAGAAATATAAGGGAAAAAAGGTGATTTACTACACTATTAACACTTTGTATTTTAAAATACAAATTATTAAATATTTGAGAACTATTAATTTTACCCCATATTTATAAAGCTTCTCTAAAGAAATCCAAACATAACCTACCTATACCACATTTTTTTTTTAACAAAAGAACAGAAGGTAACCTAAGTGAAGATTAAATACACTAAACATAAGCTTTGCAGGAGCTCTGATACTTACAGTCTCTTTTCCTTGGGGATGTCAAAGGATGCAGCCATATTCATCAGAGTTGGCAAGCAGTGCAAATGATGGCTATGTGAATGAGGAAGAATTGTGTTTGCCTGAAATAAAACATGAGGTTTTTGGAAAAAGAAATAGTTTACATTATAAGTTACTTGCAGATACTATATTCAAAACCATTGAAAACTATAAGGTTTTTAATTAAATTAACATTAAATTAATTAAATTAAATTTAATTAAATTAAATTATTTTCGCAATACTTATCATTTTATCTTATCTACTTTTATTCACAATGAAATACAAAAAATATACAGAAAAATATTAATAAAACCACTGATTTTCATTGATTCTTTATTAAATTATGGCTTTTAAGTGTTAGTCAATTAAACTCCATTCTTAAGTCATCTGAAAGGACTATATATCAAAAAATTATAGAACTGTACTTAATTTATGTTAAAAATAACATTTAAAATGCTACATGCAATATCAAAATTTATGAGTTGACTTAAGTTTTAAATAACACTTCTCAGAATAGGTTTGTCTCAATAGTTAAATAAGAAACTTACTAACTTCTGCTTTCCAAACAAAATCTCACACCCAACCTGCTTTCTAGCAATGAGGATAGGGAAGTTAATTAAATATGAAAGAGAAAAGATGTAAGAATGATACAGAATGAACTAATACTGCTATATTTAAAATTAGCCAGCTTTTATGTTTCAAGAGAATCACAGAATTCTGGAATATGACCAAAAGGAAAGAGATAAAATTTATAAAAGCAAATAATTCTGGATATTGATTCCTTACAGGAAATGATTTCATAAGAAACAGTATTTAATTCTTTCATAGTTTGAAGGAGAAGAAAACAAGTAGCTAAATAATTCACTGATCAAAAAAGAAAAAAAAAAGACAACATTAACCTCTGTTTAACTCTCTTTTGTTTTACTCACATACATAGGCTAGTTGCTATGGGGAAAAAATGTGGCAGCAGAGAGAAAACAAGGGAACACAAGCCAAAACAAAACAAATTTCTGCCAATAAAAGCAAGTTATAACAAAATTTTTAAAAGATTTGTCACTGGATCACTTTTGTGATGAATTTGAAGTGATTCTTTTTAATTGCTATTTTACTAAGTGGTAGGTGACCTAGAAATGCAAATTAATATTATATATAGCATGCAAATGAGCAGAGTTCCCTCCTTGCTTAATCTGTTGAAAGAATAATCACATTATTTTTCTAGCTTCTAATAATACATAGTAGTAGTGGTAGTAGTACTAGGGGTAGATAGTATCAGAAAATCATAGTGCCTCCCAGCCCTAACTAAAAGGATTTTCTGAATCTCAGATTATAAATTTACCAGAAACACTGATGTCCAAACAAGGAAATTATAGAATATTTTTGCAAAAAGGATTCTAAAATTCAGGCATTGGCTATAATGTACTGATTACATTTCTACATGACTGAAATAATATTTCTAGATTTTTAATTTCAATTTCTTGCTTTTTGGGTAGGAAATCTTTCTGAAAGCAACCTAGTTTTTTAAAGGACTAAAATATCCATATCAAAAATGAGTATAAAAATCTTAACATTCAGTACTTGGTATTTTCTATATTTGTTCTATTTATAAAATCAGGTAATATACTTTATTTTTTGAGTTAATATAAAGCAAATGATTGATTTTATAAATTATAATATTAAAAGTTTCGAAACATCGAGCTAGGGTTGTGGCTCAGTGGTAGAGTCCTTGCCTAGCAAGTATGAGGCCCTGGGTTCGATTTTCAGAACCACATATAAAAAAAGGCCCATTAACAACTAAAACAAAATTGTATTAAAAAAAAAAGAATGAACTATATAATCAGAAGTTGCTAAACTTACCATATGTAAAAGCTCTCCTAGAAGGATGGTAGCTCTAACTGAGATATGATCATCACTGTTTGTTATCACTTCGACCAAACCCTATGAAAATTAAAATACTTTTGTAAATTAATATACATGACCATATTCATGCATCAGATGTGCTTTTCACTCGGAAAGAATTCTGGTACAAAAAATAAAATAAACAAAATGGAATAAAATAAGTGTGTAAGTCTTACTTCTAAAAGTCCATTACGAATAAATGCAGAGAGTATCAACGCCAAATAATTATCCATGAGATCTGGCCTGGACAAAAAACAGCATAGAATTAATTTAAAGAATGTTTCATATACTACACAGTCTTATATAAAAACAGTAGCAGTAATAAGTTTATATTTAAATTCTACCTGGATCTGGCACGATGAGGAAGAATGGTTTTTGCCTCAGCTGCTACAAAGCCATCTGAAAGCCTCCAACTGTCTTGGAATCTTCCTGGATCTAAAGTTTTTAAAATGACATAGTTAAAGAAGATTAGATAACACTGAAGCACTTCAGGTAACTGTAAGAATCATCAGTCAACCAGACTATATCAAGTATTTCAAGGAGTTCTCTGGTTAAGAAATAATACACTCAAAAAGATATACCAAAAAAACTATTTATGTAAAGTGTGAACACCTAACTTCCTTTATTTTGGAACTTAGTTGTCATTTGGCTAAAATAATATAAAAATTAGATAATCTAAGATTACATAGGTTTCTGTCTTTTTAAAAAAAA